TTAAAACCACTTGATTGCTTAGCTGAATTGGTATTGCATAAGATTAGAGTGTATTGCTGGTCCCTTTGAACGAACCTAACTATTCTGCATCGAATTAGTGATTCTAGGTTTGACTCATAAACCGGACAAAAGTCCTTTTTATCACCCAAATAAACATATTTATATATCACTTAATTCTCTAAAAATTGTTGAATTCACCTAAATTTTCTAATTTTGTTTTCACGGAATTGTTGAATGTACATGAATCTGGCAGAATTTTGTTAAATAGCAAATGGTACTAGCAGAATTGCAAAATTTTGTTATATGTAGGACGAACAGCAAATAAAAATTGGTATGGTTGAGGAGCTGTCTAATAGTTGAAAGGCGATGTGGAAATATAGTGGGATCAAATGGCTGAACCTGCAAATGTATGTTAAACGCCTTTCTTATGTATTTTAGAAATCTCATATCTTGAAGTTAAATGGTTGATACCATGAAAGATATATCATGGTTGATAACCATGAAAGATATATATCCAATATTCATGATTTTCTTTTATGTTAAAAATCCAATTTTTATGATCCCGTTTTGTTATCAAGTATTTGGTATATTATTTTGGTCAGTTGCCTTTCGCTTTGCAAAAACTAAAATAGAACTCAATCATGATTTTTTTTTTTTATGTGTGTACGTAGTTTACGAAACTATATTAAATAAGACGGTATTGGCAACTTTCCTATTAGTTAGGGGTTTGCTTCTTTTTTGAATTTTCAGTAGCTTTTCTAATTTTGGAGTTGCTTGTTCGTGGATGTGTGTTAGGATTTTAAATTCAATTTTCAAATTTGATTCTCAAAAAGTATTTCTAAAAGTAAAAAATAAAATACATTAATTCACAATTTATAATAGCTCACATTTAACATGAAATACGTCAATTTTCCGTCGTCGTAGATCCCATATAAAATCAAAATAATTAATTTATGTTACTAACCACTTTGGGTCAATTGCAAGAATAACCAAAAAAAAAAATTACTAATTCATCAACTAACTAAAATAAGTTTATGTGGCTTAATCAAATCCAATAAAATTAGGATAAATGGTTAAATTTTGAATTATAATTTTTTTTAATATTATTGGACCCAATTTCCCAACCACTTTCTCCTTTATCTCTACTATCTTTTTAATAAGACTTTATTGGCAATATTAGTAGTCTCTTATGTAAGATGTTAAAACCAACAAAACAACTGTACAGTTTTATTTGCATGCTATAAAATTAACTTTACCAACAAAAGACAGCGGTAAAAAGACATAAATAACGAACACAAACCCTAGGGCAAGCGACAATATATAAGCTTTAAATACTTTTTTCTAAATATCATGATCATAGACATTTTTAATTGTTTCCGGAGAATATAATTTGATTATAGAGATG